GGCTAATAGATGGCGTTGGCGAAATAAATGTTAATTAATAATATAGGTTTTAAAATGAATTATTTGAATTTGTATGTAATAATTGAACAAAATGAAATAAATTAATTATTATTGTTACACGTAGAGTCTAGCATTAGCATCGGAAAATAATTTTTAGATGTACTTAATGTTCAAATTAAGAAGTTGGTAACATATCAACGGAAAAAGAAAGGAAAGTGCTATTAAAAGGAAAGAAAGAGAAAACTATTGATTTGGTTAGTTGTTTTTTGAAGTAATGTGCTGAAAAATGAAAATGGAAAATGGAGACAGAATAAAAATAGGGAATAGATAAGATAAGTATAACTAATAATTAAAGTCAATAGAATTTCATAGGGAGATTTTAAAGTAAAAAGGGGCGTAATTTAAGGGAAAACGTAGATTTATAAAAAAAGAACTGAGAACGTGGGTGTGGATTCGGAAAAGACTTGTGAGTTTAGTGATAATGCATTGGTACTTTTTCTTAATCTAAATATTTCTAGGTTCTCCAAATTATTCAATATCAACTTGTGGCAAATGTGGAGTACCCTAAAGCCATCCCCTGAGTCAAAATCGTGATTGGAATCTACTAGATGGGTGGCAAAATGTGAGAAGTCGGTTGTGGCAGTATTCAAACATCTTAAATGTTCTTTAAGTCTAGTCCTAAAATTACGAAAAGTTCCACCTACATATTTGGCTGGGCAAGACTTACAACTGAGTTCATATATGCCTGGTTGATCCATGATGTCCACTTTATCTTTATTCTTGATGAAAAAGTTATTAATTGAGTTGGAGGATTTAAAAGAAATTTTGAAGTGATTTTTGAGGATATTGGAGACTTTATAAGAAATATTTCCAATATAGGTAAGTGACATATACTTGCTAATGCTAGCCTCTACAGGTATAGGGTTAGTTATAAATGTTGTATTTAGAATAATTCTATTTTGTTTTTTTCTCAACATTTTATCGATTAAACTGTGATCATAATTGTGTAGATGAGCTATGTTTTTTATTTACCTCTTTTTTGAACATATAACTCACACATGGCTACTACCTTCAACTTTAATATATGAAATCAATTTAATTATAAATATTAAAGCTAAAATGTTAGGTTTTTTTTTTTTGGAGTGAGGGTAGCCACATGTGAGTAGTAGGGATTAAGTGTAAGGGTTAAAGAAAAGGTCCTTTATTTCTCACAAGTCAATACTTGTGAGAAATAAAGGACCTTTTCTTTAACCCTTACACTTAATGTTAGGTATGTTGATGGAGCTAAGGATTGAGATGAGTTGCCACATAAAAGGTACCGAGTTCAAATCTAGGATTGGCTCAGATAAAACAAATGAATCCGCGGGGTTGCAAAGTAAAATAAAACCTATATAAACCAATAAGTATAAAAAAATCTATTTTTATTATTTTAGGGCTCCGTCAAATATTTAGCGTCTCCAAAGGGTTCCGTCGAAAAAAAAAAAAAAAAAACATTTGAGAAACGCTCGTCTAGAGTGTCCTAGTACAGAGCTGGCTTTATCTAAATAGCGCGAGTTGTCGACGGACAAAAAGATTGAATTTAAGTGATGGACAGAAATGATAAATTGTAATAAATAAATTAGAATTGTGAGTTATAATAGTGCCTTAGTATTATATAAATTAATTAATACGTCATAAATAAATTGTAAATAAATAAATAGGTACACTATAAATAAATTAAATAAACGTAACAATACTTTTAAATTATTATATCCTTTATGTTAATTGTATGTTTATACATTTTTGCATGAAGCTTTATTGAGTCTTATACAGGGTGTCTGTAAAAGGTCTTTACAAAAACATACCACATATTCCTTAGACCAAAATAAGTCGATTTAAGTAAAATTACCTTAGTACAAAGTTGCTTCGTTTGGGCTCCAGAGGGCCTTGAAGTTACAATTTTTAAATCGTTTTTCCCATATAAATTTAAAACGGCATATGCGATTTTGCTGAAATTTGGTATATTGGTAGTTTTATGTGGCGAAAAAATGGTATTAAATTTTTGCCCGATAATAATACATAGGCGTAGAACTTGATTTTTGAAATAATTGCATCTTTAAAAATTCTACGCCAATGGAAGAAAAGGAGTTTGAGTATGAAATTTAGATTGCGCAACTCATTTACTTTAAAAAAGGTACTCTTGATAAGACTCGATTACTCTCATGGTTTTCGCTAAATTCCTGTTTTAATAATTTAGAGTTAGGGACGTTTTTATGGAAAATTGTAATGTTACTATTTTACTAATAAAGCTACAGTTAATTTATCTTAGCATTTTATTTAAATGTAAATATATTATCTGAATGAAATTAATGCCGCTAGTCAAGGTTTTAAGGCCTTGTCACTTTAACCTTTTTATGCTTCTATAGTCTATTTTTATGTATGAGAGAGTAATAAAACAGCATTTCTAATGCAAAACTTAGTACGGTCATTTTAAATATTTTTACAGAATAATCTAAATATTTCCTAAAATTGTAATAAATGTACCTGCGCTATTACAAGTTTTGGGTCTTTTATTGGTCCTTTATAAACATAAGCTGTACAGAACAATAGAAAAAGGTTTGGACAGGCCAAAAGCCCTGTGTGTTAAAGTTTACATAGCCGTATCTTAAGATTATTTTCAATAAGTACCTATTTGCCAATTTTGTTTTATTTTAATTCCAAGAATTTCTTACAGTAATCGAATTATAAGTAGATAAATACCTTCCCAACAAATTTCACCGAAAATGCGATTATAGGTTTTCCATTTAGTAAGGAGGTCCAAGTTGTGTATTCTTGACAGTTTACTAAATATCGTTTAGTTGCAACTTGCAAGGTGCAGTGTGAATTCTAGTGTGATCATGGAAAATTTGGAAGGGCCGCGTAAACGACAAAAAATCGGTCCTTTAACAGTTAATGAAAAAACATTAATATTTAATTGTTTTAAATCATTTACAAACATTTATTGATGACACAGTGGAATTAGTAGTACGCTTGGTGTTGGGAAATCTACGATTTACAGAGTTGTTAAAGAAGAGAAATGTGGCGAATTTCAAACAGCACGTAAAGCTCCAGGAAAACCAAAATTTCAATTAGAAAATCTTTTGAAAGAAAGACTTCGAAGGAAAGTACATGCGTTCTTCTTTAGAAAAGAATTTCCGACAGTAGACAAAGTTCTTGCCACGGTTCGAGATGATAAGGATTACTCTGAAATGAGTCGAAATACACTATGGAAACTTAAAAGAAATAGGTTTTCTATGGAAAAAGCATTCCAGAAAGTCTATTTTAATAGAAAGAAGCGATATTGTAGTATGGAGAAGAAATTACATAAGGACTATAAAAGAAATGAGAAACCAAAGAAGAAATATATTTTATTTAGATGAAACATGAATCAACGAGGGACATAAACCAAATAAATTTTGGCAAGATGAAACTGTTACAAGTCGAAGACAGGCTTTTTTAAATAATTTTTTTACTGGTTTAAATCAACCATCAGGAAAGGGGCGCAGACTAATAATAGTACACATCGGTAGTTCAAACGGTTTTGTTAATGGTGGTTTATTGACTTTTGAATCTATTCGTACCGGTGACTACCATGAGGACATGAATGCTGATGTCTTTAAAGAGTGGTTCGAACAAATTATAGATCTTCTTCCTCAGAACTGTATAATAGTAATGGATAATGCAAGTTATCACTCGAGACTTATAGAAAAAATGCCCACAACCAAGTGGTTAAAACAAGATTTACAGAATTGGCTAATGATACGATTAAAGAAGAAGAGAAAATGTGGAAGTTGGACAATATTACTGATGAAATGATCGAGCCACTCATTGTAAATATTGGTTGCGACAGTTCATCTTCTAATTTAGATTCTGATTTGGATTTGTAGGTAAGAAGTAGTTTTTATATTAAAATTATTATTTATGAACGTAACGTTGTTTAAAAGTCAAAGTTTAAACCCTTTTACCTACATAACCCGTTTGACACAATGTTCTTAACATACCTTGTGGAAAAATAAAAAATTTTAGAAAAAATTGCACTTTTTTAACTTCAGCTGTTTAGAAGTTATAAACAGGTTAATTAGGTGAAAATATAAGTGTATACTCGAGGAATAACTTCAAAAAATATTTTAATTGTCTACTAAAAGAAGTGATACGCCTATGGATTATGAACGCTTTATTATTTTAATACTCTCTCATACATAAAAATAGACTATAGTTGATGTTTGTGAAAAGAGATTTATTGTTTGTATTAGGCTTATCAGTCTCCATTAAATCCTTCTTGAAACAAGGTTACATACTATATCCCATACAGCACACGACGTCCATTGGACGTCCATATTTTGTCCAAATAATATCCTGGATGTCCATGAACTTCATGTGGATGTCCACTGGACATCCATTTTCTGTTATCCAATGGATATACCGGTTCAGAAGTCCAAAGGATGTCCAAAAAATGTCCATGATGGACACTATAAAAACGATAAACTTATAATAAATTATTATAATTCTTCTAGTATAATTTAATTATTAACAACTAGATTTTAATTCGCTACTGTTGACAAGATACAAAAGTAAAAGGCCATTCAGGCCACTCAAAGAAGAAAAGAAGAAAAAGAGATTAAGAACAAGAACGGCCAGGGTTGCCAATCGTACGGTAATTACCGTACTTGTACGGTAATTTCGTTTAATGTACGGTATACGGCCCAAAGTCATTACCGTACATAAAAAGTACGTTATTTTGAACAGAATTAGCAAAAACTTTGAGTTGTGTAAGGGCCGATTCCACTGTTGTGTTAAACGAAGTTTAAATTACTAAATGAAGATTAAGTAGTCTATTCTGTATCATGCAGTTGCTAGCTAGCAAGTGGCTTAGACCAAGATCAGTCGTTATGTTACCAATTTGAAAAAATCGGAATTTTCTAAAATAAAATCTGTAGCAACTAGTGATTATAAAAGTGGATTTCGAGTAACTCAGAAGCAATCAAATATTCTTGGTGCTAAAGCATAACAACTAGTTGCTGAGAAAGAAATATAGACCTTTGGATAATAAATATTTAAATATATCAAGAAATTAATAGGATGTATGTTTATTGATAAGAAATTTGGAACTTATCATAATTTTTTCTAATGATTTGTATCTGTAATCTGTATCTGTAAGGTGTGTTCCCTTTACATTAGTTAGGTCTCAATAGCCCCATTGCGCATCCTCCAGATGTTGCCTTTCAGGTGAGATGTCTATAAGGATGACTATCTCTCAGATCGTTAAAAGGCCTGCAGATCTGCTTGAGATAAAATTGCATAATACATTATTTAATTTCAATCCAGTCCACCAACAAAATGTAACCATTTCCAAATGATAAAATTACAGTTCACTTGACTTCCCGGCACTTCCGACTCGAAGGTTAAGTTGTTAAAAGCCTGATCTACACCACACTTACAAGTTGTATTATTTTTATAGTAACCGTATAACAACTTTGACAAAAGTAGCTATTCTAAACTCTATTCAACTTAAACGCAAGTAACGCGTAAACACAATAGCTCCTTGACAACAGCACATTGAGCTAGAGGGTAGAGAAACATCCAAAACTGGCTTGTGCGTATCATGCTGTGGTCAAGGGGCTATTGTGTATACTTGCGTTTAAGTTGAACAGAGTATAGTATTCACTGTTGCTATAAAGTTGTATGTGTGGTGTAAATCAGGCTTTTAACAACTTAACCTTCAAGTCAGGAGAGACGGGACCAATAAGGTTCATATCTCCCGGTCATGGACGTTAACTGAAATATAATTAATCATTTAATTATTAATCATAAATATGTCATAGTTGTAAACTTTCATCAAGACTGAAAAATTTAATGTGCAGACATGCAATCATTTTCATGATCTAAGAGGTGGTTCCTATAGACAGCTCTTAGTGACGTTATATATCAACCAGCAGACGTTTTGGAGAGCTGAGAGGCAGGTCTTTAATTCCCTTGAAGGATACACAATGGACCTATTGAGGAATAATTGACATGGAGAGTAACCTCTCTTCACATATACAGATCGCAATAAATAGTATTCCCTTTGCTGAAATCTTACTTCTTTCCTAAATCAAACCATTATAGAAAATAATATATTTATTTAGTTCTGATATCTATTATTCTATTAGTAAATATACCTTCCATTACTTTCCTATTCTTATTAAAATATTTATTATCTAGGGTCCATAATATTTTCTTCTTAGCAACTAGTTGTTGCGCTTAACCATAGATTACAGTAATGTGAATCAAGAATATTTGGTTGCTTCCAAATAAATCTGAATCCACTTTTGTAACCACTAATTGTTACAGATTTTACTTAGAGAATTCTGATTTTCTCAAAGTGGTAATACAACAACTGACCTTGATCATAGCAACTTGGTCAGTAGCATAACTGTATGCTACAACATAGACATTAAGCAGTCGTAAATACTAGAATAACTACTTTTATCAAAGGTGTTAAATACAGTTGCTATGAAAGTGGTAAGATAATAAGTGGTTAGAAAGTTGCCAGATAACAACTATAGTTACAGAATAGACCCCTAAAATGACATTGTCTAATGCAAAATGCCATTTTATTCTTTTTACAGCAAATGTTCTCCAAAAGGACCTGGTTTGTAATTATAAGCTGAGGCCTTTTTCGTTTTAGAAGCTAGGTAGAAGGACCAGAGGTTGATTGAAATATGATGAGGACTTTTTTTAGAAGCCCGACAAAAATATATTTACAAAATATTGTTTTTTTACGAAATAAAAGTGTACGGAAGGCCATGTACGGTAATTTTAATTACGCGGTACGGTAAACGGAATTTGAAAAGTTGGCAACCCTGAGAACGGCTCACAGCATAGATAAATTAATTTATCTATGGCCCACAGCCCACATGTAACCCACAGATATAGAGTTTATCTGGTAAAAAAATAAGTATAAGTAACATTAAATTATTTAAAAATCCAAAAATTAAGAGGCAAATCGTTTATTTTTAACTAATATAACCTATCAATTATGTTAAACTTTATATTTTCGATTTACATTCAAAGAATCCCTTTCTTTTAGAACTGTTGTCTTAAGAAAATGAATTTACTAAAAGCTAACTAATATGCTGCAAATTTGAGATGATGCCAACACAATTATTATTGTAACTAAGACATGAGAAACCTTCCAAAACAGAAGAAAAAAAAAATCAAAATTCTATTTGAATCGGTTATTGTATAACGGGAACAAGTCCATGATAACTACTTTTGAGAAAAATGAAAAAAACCAACTAGCTTTGAAATTTGAATACCTATTAAGTTATGTTCTATGGATGAAATGTATTAATTGAGTAGCAGAATTATATGCGATAAAGCTATTTGGATTTTGAAAAGTATTAAGATCATAAGGGCGATTTTTAACCCTTGGACTTGTTTCCTTCATATAATAAATGAAAAAAACATAGAACAATATTACTGATGCTTTACTGTTAATTATTTTATTTATAAAAAAGAGATTAAATGATATAAAAAAACCAAATCTGCATTCCAAAACTTTAAACAATTATTAGTCAGACTCATATTCTCTGTCGGTTGTTGGCCATTCCTTGAAATGTTTAAAAAATTCTTGATCTTCCTCAGGAATGTAGGTTAAAACCTTCATGAGATCCTCCAGCTTTTTAGCCTTGATTAGTACTTTTCCGTTATAAGCCCTTTCATTTGGAAAAGGAGGAGCTGTAATATTATTTTTTGATAAACGAAACTTGGATGTCGTAATGCCGTCTATAAATTCCCGTGTTACTATGAAACCGCGTGTTCACTTTCATAAGTCAAGTGTTTATATTTTGCTATGCTAAAACTTTCTTTTATTGTCTCTTTATCTGTAACTATTTCCTTCGTAGTCTTTTTAAAATAAGCTGGCCACCATGCTTTAAAGTTTAACACTTCATGTGTATCTATCACTTTTATAGTAAAGTTTGGCTTGGATGTTTTAGCTTTTGCTACTATTGACACATATTGCAATGGTGTATATATCCTATCATGGCGCCTAATAGCTCTTTTGATTATTCCGAAGTCTCTGTCGCATGGCAGAAATGAATGCCCTCGAATAGGAAAATATTGGTGAATTACTTTAAATCTTCTATTTAGGGTAAGATTCAGGAAAAATCGAACAAAGGTATGATTTCGATTCTGGCCTCCGCATGCATCACTAAACACGTATAATTCGGTGACAGTTTCTGGAATTTGCTTAATGTAGTCCTGTAGGAAAGAAGTTACTTCGTTCGCTCCGCGTTTAGCTGTGCCTTCATGGTATGTAAAAAATGTTGCACCATTAGTTTTTATATCATGGATCCCAAAAACGTATTGCCATACTTTTCGTAGGTAAAACATGTCATTCACTGGCATAAAAGGTAATGGCAAATTCTGCATGTAATCGAAAACGATTGCTGCTACATTTTCGTTGTTATTGCACAAATCTTTTACAGATTTAATTTTATTGTAGAACTTAGCAGCCCTTCTTTTATGCACAACTAATTCCTCAGCTGCTACTCGTTTTGCAGTATCGTTTAATACCGACGATTTTAATTTCACCCCTAATTCCTCGCACTTCTGGCATACGTCCACCTGTGGTCTACCAAATCTGTATCCAAAATTTTCATTAAAATGTTTTAAATAGTACTCATACTTAACAATGTTCATTAAATCTGCATTTTCCCAGCAAAACATCTCGAACATCTTTTTTACGGTCAACGAAGAATCAAGATAGTTATGCTCATTTATTTTTAAAATAGCAGAATCAGGTAAAGCATTACCACGTTTAAGGTGTTGACCTCGCCTGTCAGTTGGCCTATCGCCATTTAACAGAAGTGAAGTTAAACGGAAAACTGCCTTTACTGACGAGGCATACAGACTAAGAAATGCTTTTTTGCATACTTGGACACGCTCTTTTCTGTTTAATACGTGAAACATAAAATTGCTTCGGAGCTCTTGCTTAGGCTCTTGATTCCTTGACCTACGTCTCTTAATTTCTTTAGCATCAAGAAGACCCATTAAAAAAGTATCTTGTTCATTCTTTGGCTTCCCAGAATACAGCGATTTAAAAATTGTCTTCTTCTGCTCATCAGAGAACTTCTCTGTGCATTTAAATTTACACCTGCAAAAAATATCGTCTTTAAACGGACTAAAAACCCCATAAATACATAAAAAGAAGGCGAGATCCTATGACGAGTCTAACAACCTGTACAAGTACATACCTGCAGTCTGGCCCAGTTTGTCGAGCTGGTTTTGCAACGCCTTTTTGACTAATATAGTTTTTTCCAAGTAATCGGGATTTAATTCGTACATTATTTTCATATTTTTCACAGTTTCGCACACCCTTTTTCCGTTTCGGTTGTAACTCACTACTTGTATCAGAGATATCAGACATAATTCTAATAAATAATGTTGTTTATATTTACAAAAAATGATATTGCAATAATTGCCG